TGTACTATCTATGTTTCATAAATAGCAACAGTGAGACAATTTAAAATTTGAAAGCTCAAAACACAAAAATAAGCTTTTAAAATGATTTTATGCTCTACTCTTAATTATTTATAAAGTATATGGCATGGATAATTTAATAAAAAATCTTTAAAATTCATCCATTATCAAAAAGTTATCTTAATACCTTCCTCATAGCATCCCACACTCTTATGTAAAATACTCGAGCATTAAACTTTAACTCTACATGACTAATTATTTCCTTAGACTTCATTTCTATTTCATGGCATTTGCAAAAAATAATAAACTATCATATAAACCATAAGTTACACAAACCATGACTTATATGCTTGACAAGATGAATACATATATTCTCATTAGACGTGATATAAATGCACCTTGCACCTCTTAATTGCTTAATTTTGGTGGCATGCAACTGTCATCCTTAATGTAAAGATAATTGACATTTTGAAAACACAAATTAGAAAATCTTGATTTATTCAAGAAATCCTTTGATACTTGACAATACTACAATAAAGTATATATTAATAATGGTTAACAAATAAAATTTTATTTAATAAAACACAAAAATATACAAATCATATTAGTCATAGTTTTTCTTACATATTTTAGGTTATCCATTGGCCTGCCAGAAGCTTGGTTTTTCCCTCTCTCTTGAGCATTTGATATGGTTACACATACTTATTATTTATTATCAAAATCTACTCTCATAAATGTCATTTCTGAAAACTTTGATCAACTACCTTTGGTTATGTATAATTAATGTGTAATCATTCTTCCCATTCATTTTAATCATTAGTAAGCTTTGCACACATATGTAATTTGACACTAATCTGGGTGCTAAATTAGATTCTTAAGTAATTGCCAGATATTGTTTGGCACTTATATATATCAATATGCATGCAAATTGGTAAAATAAGTCATTATAATGTAATCTAATTAAATATGCAAACTCACCTAAGGTTATAAGCACTGAGAAAGAAAATGATTAATTATCTTATGCCATTTTTTTAAATGGATTTCTGAATCAACAACAACAAATTTTTATGATAGATCCATAATCAGTTGCATAGGCACAAAATTTTCCATCATTATTTTGAATAAGCATTACCTTAACATATATTATACATGAATGAAAATAAACTTCTTATAGCATAACTTCACAAATTTTATCATCAACTACTAAATTAGATTCACCTTATTATTATTCCTATCAAGCTTGAAGCTCAAAGAATTTGTCTTTTAAAATCTAGTACTTAGCATTTAATAAGAATTTATATTGATCTCTTATTTCCACTGCAGTATGATGGTGTGAAGTCCCTTGAAAATTTAAGCTCACCATTATGCTTTAGCATAAATCAAGCTCTCTTAACCATATCGTAGATCGAAAATAGAGGGGTAGTAATTGCATGGTACACTAATTATGAGCATATCAAGCTCTCTTAACCATATCGTAGATCGAAAATAGAGGTATTTGAGATGCTGTGAGTGGAAAAGCTATATGTCCTTCCAAAGATTATGACTACTCATGTATTTTTTTTGGGTTATATTGTGGTAGTGTATGCATTCAGATGGATCTTACAAATGTTGAGGTCATTATGAGTTGGACCGAACCACAACCTTTCTCTTAGCTGAGACAGTTTATAAAACTAGCATCATTTTACAAGTTATTCATCAGAAAATTTAGTACCATCACCACTCCTTTGATGGAGCTTTTGAAAGTAGTGAAATTCTAGTGGACAGATGCAGTCTAGAATAGTTTTGACACATTTAAGTAGAATTTGATTAAGGCACCAGTTTTGGCATTACCAGATTTCAATCAGCGTTTGAGGTAGAGTATGATACATTCAACATGAGGATAGGAGTAGCGTTGAGCTAGGGAGGTCACCCCATAGCCTTTTTTTAGTGAAAAGTTAAATGAGTCTAGGAAAAAGTATTTGACAACAAGGAGCATTATGTAATTGTAAGAGCTCTTGAGCACTAGAGGCACTACTTACTGATGAGTGATTTCATGTTAGGCACAGACCATGAAGACTTGAAATTCTTGAACAACTAGAGTAAACTGAAGGGCCAACACTCATATTGAGTGGAGTTCTTAGCATCGTTCAAGTTCATTCTTAAGCACAAAATGGGGAGTCAAAAATAGTGTAGCGAACACATTCTTTACTTGTTGATCACTGAAATGCAAGCTCAAGTAGATGGAACTTTAAGAATACTCCAAAAGTTGAATGATGATGCTTATACCATTTACCTAGCATGGGACTACAATATTTTGTTACGTTTAATTTCTGGGACTTGACACAATACTAGGAGGAGCCAATAGCTTCAACAGATTGACTTGAAGATCCTCCCAATCCCAAGAGACTCTTACAAAGGCTGGGGCTAAATTGACTCAACCATTTGTAGCAAGGAGGTGCCAATCCAACAAGTATGCTGGACCAATCAGCTCTGCTATTGAGTGGGAACTGCTACCCCTTCCCCCCTCCTCCTTCTAATCATCTTATTATAAATATGTTGATTGTCATTTAAGATTTAGTTTTTTCTCTTTCTAATTTCAAATTTACAGTCATTAGGCATTTCGTCCCTTTCTAATGTTTTGTCCAAGGACATATGGTGCTTTGGCTATATCCTGCTCCAAGGTGATGGTTTTCTCCTCCACACCCTCCTTGATTCCTCTTCTAGCTCACCGCCCTCTCTCATGCGCCCTCCCCTTTCCTGATTCCTGATTTGAGACCCTGTCAATACCCTCTCAGCTTGAGTTCAGGTTCCTGTTATCTCTCTCCTTGTTGTCACATACCTTTTCGACACCAAATTTACCCCCACCTAGCCTCCTTTAGCCCTTCCTTGTTGTTTCAACTTTCCAAATTGCCTCATCCGCTTCTACCAACCTACTCACAAACTGACCTACTACAATCACCTATTTCCAAACTCTTACATGCTGCCACCACCTCTCAAAACACATGTTGTCCAACCGAGGCTCATCACCTTCACTCTCGTCCTGAGGGCTTGTTTGTTTTTTGTGTTATTTTATTTCAATTTTAATTTTTTTTGTTGTGAATCCTTCAAATTTTCTGCAATAATAGTTGCATTTGATTGTCTTTAGGGTTAACCTCACTATCAAACAATGTACCTCAAATGTGGTGCAACAAAAGTGTAACAATGCACCCCATATATGGTGCAACGATGTCTTTCAAAGACAATGTAATAATGCACCCCAAAGACGATGACTTTCACCGGACTCCGAAAGCTCTCTCCAGGCAACTCCCTAAAGCCTCTGTGGCCTATGAATGACATTGTAACTCAGCACTACGACCTACGTGACCAAAAAATGTTCTACATAACTCACATCTCATACAACTCCTGACTCTGTCCCTTGCGACCTACACATGTTATTGTATCACACTAGTATAACTATGTGACCAACTACGACCTATATGACTTATAATTCGTGCAGCTCCCGACTCCGACCCCTATAACCTACGAACATCATCACAGCTCACTACTATAACTTATGTGACCATTATCGCCTACATTGCTCATAATTAGTGTAGCTCTCAACTCCAACCCCTGTGGCCTATGGATGCTATCATAGCTTACCAATGTGTCATATATACCAACAATGACTTATGTGGCTTGTAGCTCGTGTAGTTCTCTCCCTTGCGGCCTACAAACATCATCACAGCTCACTATCGTGACCTATGTGGGTCACAACTCATAAAGTCCTCGTCTTCGGCCCCAGCAGTTTATGGACATCATCATAGCTCACCACTACGGTCTATAAGACAAACATGACCTATGTAGCTTATAGCTTGTGTAGCTTCTGATTCCAACCTCTGCATCCTACAAGATTATCACAACTCGACACTATGACCTACATGGTCCACAACTCCCAACTTTGGCCTCTACAACTTATTGGCATTATCGCAACTCACCACTACGGTCTATTTGACCGACCATTACTTGTGTGGTTCACAATTCCTACAGCTTCTGATTACTGTTTTTGCAGCCAACCAACGCTCATGAAACAATCTTCTGCGACTTACCAATATTATCATAGCTCACCACTATCATAACTTTTAATTATGGATTTCATGACAAGCTGGTGTTACAACCACCATCTACAACACTCACAACGAACTTCTGCCTTCATAGCAATTGACTATGAATCTTGCAGCCTGCTATCATTGAGAACTACAATCATTATAGTCAAAACACAACTATTATCAATGAACAATTGTTATACATTTACAATAATCAACTTTGTAAGTTCATCTTCCCTAATTCAAAAGAAAAGTGAACTCACCATTCATAGTGGATTATTTCAACTAGTCTAGGCTCCGTGGGTTTTTCCAATTTCCAGGATTATACGCATAAAAAGTCAAGGTGTCTCATCTTATTTCTCTTTTACTTTCTCAGTATGTGCTTGGCTTTTGCACAACACTAAGATAATAATTCATTACTCTACTGTCGCGGACTTTTCGACACACATCAATCAATCTATGTTTGGTTTATTAAGCTCACAGAGAAGTACTATACAAATGATTATTCAAAGATAAAAAAAAGGCATTGCTCGGAAGAAGATAATATCAGTTAGAGAGATATGACAGCTCTCACATTTGAGCATTCACAGCATCCCCAAAGATTGTCTTATATTTATTTGGTATATATATATATATATATATATATATATATATTAATTTGTGCACAAATGATTGCACCAGGCGAGTTAAAGAAAGACCTGTGGGTGGGCTTTCGAGTCAACGTTTAAGAATTATACACACAAATAATATTTATCAAATATGATGCAATTATCTAATTATCATTTTAAAACATAGATGAACAAATGAACTCCCATACTTAAATAGCATGAAATATAAAATAAGTAAATTAATTTGTTAATTATTAAAGGAAGGAAATAAACAGAAATAACGTGTCTATAAAACAGGCGGCGTCGAACGGACTCTCTTCCCCATGCTGCTTTCTCGCCAGTGCATTCTCTCTCCTCGCTCCGCTTATCTCTCTCTCTCCTTCATTTGGTTCTCCGTTTCCTTTCCGTGTGACCGAAAAAGCGGAAATTAAAGAGAGGAGAAACAGAGGACGGAATGGGAGAGAGTGCGCGTCTGCATTTGGCGCCTTTAGCGTAAGAAAGCTGCGGAGTGGAGCAAGGGGGGAAGGATTTAAGGTTGTGTGAAGAGGAGGAGAAGGGATTGTTGAGCGGAGGAGGTGATGAAGGTTTACGCGGCGGCGGGTTCGCCGTGGAAGCGGAGGTGGAGGGGGCCGACGGTGGCGGTTGGTTCACTCGTCTGCTTCTCGTTGCTCGTTCCGGTTGCCTTTTTACTCGGTTTCCACAACCGCTTTCCATCGGGTAGGTATTTCTATTCCCTGCGCATCTGTGTCACAGAACACCGAGATCGCTTGGATCGGCGACGGCATTGGGTTTTGTTTATGTCGCTTAAGTTGGTTGGGGGTGTTGTCTGTGGTGAATGCCATTAGGGTGGTAATTTTCCTCGGGATTTGGGTGCGATTATTGGGATCGGTTTCCCAATTACACTCCATTTATTTTGCCATTTTCTTTTGTCCGTTTAGGCGGATTTGGAATCGTTGGTAATGTGCTTGTTTTTGCAGGGTTTTTGGCTGAGGATCGTCTGCCATTGGTGAGGATATTTAGATTCTCAATTGATTGAATATTGCAGTCAGTTGACATTACTTATTGTTTGGTTTTATTTTTTTAATCGTTCAATTACCTTGATTGAGAGCCAGGAGATCAGCTTTGGCAGCCATGAACGAGTGGAAAGCGTTCAAGAATCATTCGAGGTGCTTTTCTTAATCTTGTCTGGGCGACTTTCTTGTCGTTTTTTTATTTGGAAGATAAGCGTTCCTGTCAAGTTCAATTGATGATGCAATTCCTTTTTACCGGAGTTATATTTCTTGTTGCAGGATGCCTATCCGAGAATTGATAAAGCAATTGAGAAGTTTAGAGTTTCTCCAATCAAGGTTTTGTCTTGTCTTTGGATAGCACGAGGCACCGTTTGACATTGAATTGATTTTTTATATTGCGACCATTTTGATTCAAATTAACTGGAGCGAGTAATATGTGGAAACAAGAGAATTCCGTTTTTTTCCTAATTAATGCACATCATTCATGATCTTCAAAAGAAAATTTTGTGTTAGTTCAGGAAGAAATATGATTGGATTGTTCCTATCATGTCAAAAAGCTTGTTCCCATTTGTATTCATTGTGCACTTTTAAGGAGTTGGATTTAGTCCAAAGAGCAATTGTTTCAAAATTCTTAGAGCTTAATTATGAGTGAGTCATGATATGCATTTATGTTTCCTTTTTGATGACGAGGTCAGATGAAATAGATGAATGATATTGAGGAGGTTGAGAATGGAATGGGAGTAAATAGTAAAACAATGTCTTAAAATCATGGAATCTGCATATTGAAAAATATGGAATTCACAAACTGAGTTGCTGTTGTAAGCATCAAAAGAATGCTTCATAGTTGAATCATGTTCTTTTAATTGGAAGAATGGAACAGTCTGGGGTTTTCACAAGGAGGCAAAGTCTTCTCAGCTTCTCACCCAAGCAGATCTGGTCCATTAAGATGTAGAATCCTACATGGGCAGAAGAATATATAAAAAGTGCAAAGGATTAAAAAAAGCTTACTAAGATTGTTGATTTTGAAACTTTATCTATTAAATAAAAATTGAAACACATTCAAAAGATCAACCTGAGATAATAGGCTAGACATGATCTTTATGATGGTGTTGGAATATTCTTGCTTTTGCATTGTTCTTTACCCTGATTTATTTCCTTGTTTGTGATAGTTTTTTCTTGCCACCTTAATTTTCAAAGCAATTCATGACATTTTCTGTTATTTTATGGACATTTTGAACTTGACTATTTTGTTCCTGAAGGGATCTACCCAATTATTACCATTAATGTTTCTGATAACCAAGCAACATGGTACTGGGATTTTTCTTTCTATAGTTGTCACGTTGAATGTTTAAGATTTTATTTCCTTTGCTACTTTTTGTTAGGAAAATGCCTCAACCTAATCATTCTTAATATTTATATGCAATGAGAGCGGCTCCAAACTTCAATGGAGTGGATTCTATTCCTAGCAGGCATCACAGTTTTATGTTTTCTTTGTCCAATATGAAAATGTCCAAATATTTCTTATCATCTAAAGCAATAGGAGTATGACGATTCATATTTTATTTCACCAAGTTACAATCAACATGATATTCAGAATAGTTCCAATCCATTACTTCTTCATTATTAGGATGAACCAAGCTATGAAAAGCTCAGAAATAAGCACCCATTTAACTTCTTTCCTAAAGGAATGTTCGCTTTGCATATCATCTAAAGCATCCACATTTATCATTTCTCAGGGTATTACTGAAAAAGAACCCACGATGCCAGCTGATTCAACTTTATACACCAATACCGATGCTACTCGTTTGAGCAAACCTGTGCCTGTCTCGCAGCAAGGAGACACCACTTCTCAGTTTCATCTTAAGAGCACTGTCTCTACTATCTATCCTCTCAAGAAAAAGGACTATAATTCTACTTCTAAAGGTGTAGTGACAAATTTCCTTTAGCTTCAACTATATCTTCTTCTAACCCAATGCTCGGCTAATATCATTCAATGTTACTGTTTGCAGCTATGCATACTCCCCAGATAGCTAAAGCAGAGTTAATTTCATCTATCCATACCAATGTAAGGTTATGTTTTGCCATCTAATTTTAGTTGTTTTCTTCCGTCTGAAAGCTTGTTCAAAGTACCTGAGTTTGGAATAAGCAGATGCTCTCTTTGATATGGTTTCAACTTCGAAAATGTTTAGTATGTGATGAACTTGTAGCCGATATGTGATTTCTCTTTTCCCCTCTTCCTCTATCAAGTGTAGGATGATTATGTGTCAAGCTTTAAGACTTAATCATTGTTGGGCCATGTACAAAAGCCTTTGTCAATACATGGAACAATGCCTTCATTGATACATTATCATATGAACAGACTTTTTTTATACTTTCTTTTTTTGCTTTATTTTAAATTAGATTGTTAACTTCTATAATAGCATGCTTTTAAAAACTTTCAGAAACATGGTGGAGAGATCAGGAAGAGTCACTTGGAATTGCCAGTTGTTGATGGTGCCAAAAAATCGTGCCAGCTAGAATTTGGAAGCTATTGCCTTTGGTCAACAGAACATAAAGAAATAATGAAAGATTCTGTGGTGAAGAGACTAAAAGATCAACTTTTTGTAGCTAGAGCTTATTATCCAAGCATTGCCAAACTTAAAGCACATGAGAACTTGTCACGTGAACTTAAGCAAAATATTCAAGATCACGAGAAAATTCTGAGTGATGCTATTTCAGATGCTGATCTACCACCATTGTAAGTGACAAATCAACTTATCACTCACCACATAACATTTTGCTGTGTTTTCTCTGCACTTGGTTTTCTCGCTTCGCATCAACTTATCACTCACCACATAACATTTTGCTGTGTTTTTTCTGCACTTGGTTTTCTCGCTTCGCATCACATAGAATTCTCCATTTCATCACAATAAAAATAAATGAATAAGCAAGTATGTCCAAGAGGGTGCAAAACTACTTTATTTAGCAAATGGTGGAACGTTGGGCCAGGAAAACCACAGTGCTGCATAACAAACCTTGAAGGATTGAAATTCAGAACTCCTCATGAGACTTCCTGTGAATGTCAAACCCATTTCAATACAAATCTTTGATACTTCAAATGCATATCGAGGTGAAGGCATGCATAACAAATTATCTTTCAAAACTATATCAGCTCACTTGCCTAATTTTCAAAGACATCATTTCATGCAATTGACCTAACCCATCAG